GACTCTCAAGTATCAATCTTATGATCTTCAAGAAACAGTTATATTTGCTTGATTTTTATCGTGACCCTTAATCTTATGATCTTCAAGAAACAGTTATATTTGTTTAATTTTATCGTGACTCTCAATCTTATGATCTTCAAGAAACAGTAACAATGGTTTCTATCACGTTCATTCTAATGATCTTGAAGGAATAGTTACATTTGCTTAATTTGTATCATACTCATTCTTATGACCTTGAAGGAAGAGTTACGTTTGCTTAATGTTTATGACACTCATTCCCTCGCAGTTCTCTTGTAATATCATTGCAAAACTATAACGTAAGTAGTGATTCACATACCAGTCTAATGCTATACGGATCTAATGGAATTGTTTTGTTTTGTGAGGTCAGATTCTTTTGGTTATCCATAAAATATATCGCCATCTGATAATTATTATCCCTAGGTGACTAAACGGACATTTTTATACGCCGTAACGCCAAATTAATAACCGTGGAATATTTAGTTGTATAACGGTTATTGCATTCATTTGATTTGTTCTTAATGTAATCAATAACCATTTATTCGGCATATTACATCAGTAACGATTTATTCATTCGGCATCATACATGTATATAAATAACGCTTTGTTCGTTCTGTATAATTGGAAACTATCCAGAAGAATTATAACTCAAGAGTATGGTGGCTGAAAGCGTCCATTTAGATCGGCGGGTTTCTCGATACAACGCGAGAGTCGCCCTTAAGCCAGCACGACGAAAAAGGCGCCGATCGGCGACTTTTTCGTCGTAATAGCTTAACGGCGACCCGCGACTTTCACAACACGAGAGTCGCGGGTCGCCGTTAAGCTAGTACGACGAAAAAGTCGCCGATCGGGTGCTGGCTTAACGGCGACTCTCGCGTTATATCTAGAAACCCGCCGATCTAAATGGACGCTTTCAGCCACCATACAAGAGCATTAATATTATAATTTAACGATGTTAACACAAAGATGTTGGGGACCCTAAAAGTGTAAATGTCTCTTTGCTTAAAGATACATTATGGAAGATTAGATAAAGAGCTGGCAGTTCTCATTATAATGTAATAGCTAAGAAATAGATAATGTAAAGGGAATTTTCAGAAAATTTCAGTCAAATTGATTCCTTCTGAACCGGGAATTTAGCGATTGAATTTTGGGCCGAGCATCGATCATTATCACTAAAGTTTGTACGATAAAAAAAACATAGTCTCGATTATCCATTTTTTGATTTAATCATGAATGAGCGTTGAGCAGCAGATCGGATTATAATTCAGTGAATATCGCAGGCTAGCGATGACATCGAGGGTTGATTATGTTCAGGATAAGTTTAATTAATGTCTAATTAATAATTTAGATAACATTTCAGGCCTAAAGAAAGACCTGCAATTGGCAGATTTAGCTCTTGCATAATGTATGTTTAATAATAAAACGGACATCTTGTCAGAGTGACTTCACCATCGCCACGCCAATATGATCATGGTCTATTCAACGACGTTGGTCTCACCTAGAGCAACAATACACAATTATATGAAATACAATTACTCTTTATTACTGGGCGACGTTTCGACTAGGCTTCTCCAGGGTTTATTAAGCAGTAACAAACAGTAATTGCATTCTATATAATTGCCTTGTGCAATTCCAATTAAATAATAGAAAAAACGGTTATCTAAATTACAAGCTACATGATTATATATTTCTTGTTCACTAGAAATATATACATATACATAAAAAATAGAAGGGCCCGTTAGGTTACCTAATTATTTTAGAAGGAATATATGGTTTCTGTAATGGAATGGTGTGTCTACTATGAAATATTGATTGCTTTTTTCATGAATGACATTTTACAAGGTCATGATGTAAGAATGGCGATCATGTGGTTATCAGATGTAAACAACACACTGGTGAATGAGTCTAGATGTAGTTAATATTATAGGCGTCATAAGTATAAAATTTTTCGACGCCTTGAGTTACTTTATTGAATTGGTTGATTAGGTTTCATTCAAGGATGCTGAGTGTGCATATAAACAGATTGATAAAACCATAAAAAATACCACCAGGGGCAAATGATTAGTTCAACGTATATATTATACCATTGATTAAAAAAGCACGGCTAAGGTTATGGTTTGGTTAAAGTGGTGTTACAGTTTTGGCCTTAACCTGAGCTACGTGTGTTGAACTAGCTTTCAGATAATGTTAGCACTAGTGTAATATTATCAACACTTGTGTCACACAAGTTTTACTTATGGAGTATTTGAATAATTAGAAATTAAGCTAACAAACTAAAGTTTATTCTGCAAAAAAGCAACATTAACTTGTGAATAATCCCTAGAATAGGTTTGCATGTTAAAAGAATCATATTTGTTTTCTTATATATAAGAAACGCAGTATGATTCTGTTAGTCCTAACTAATCATTTCGTAAGCAATACTTTTATTATTTACGAGCATGTTTCATGGTATCTTATTATGATATTTATTACTGTGAATACCGTTTTATTGATCAAAATAGAAATAATAATATATGACTTAATTTACATAGAAGTCTTTAATAGACAGTATTACTAAAATAATAAAAATTCGTCAAAGGTAACTCCACTTTAATGCCATTTCCTGTCTCTTCGATACAATTTCGCTATATGGTTTATTGTTTAGAAACTTGATTGATTTACTAATTACTATTCAATAGCTTTCTATTCAATAAACGTCTAAGCAATAACACCCAGCTTCATTAAAATCTGATGTGGAATAAAAACAAAATATTCCCTAGAGGTTTGTTTTAGAGTTTGAAAGACGGTAACTCGGATATATTTCAAATACAGTAGGGTTTTATAAGGTTGAGTTAGCATGGCGCCACACCAGTTCAACGCCACACTAACCTGTTTTGAACTATAACTCTGAACTGGAATTAACCTAAGTAATTGAGTTCGTGGCTCAATCTCGGTTTCATTTCATCTTTCGATAATGTACATAGATTTAGATCTAAAAGCAGATTTTCTACAGCCAGAAACCTACAAAGTTTATCTGTCCATCAACTTCTATTTAATATAAAACATGTTGAATGGTTCTGTGAAAACACTAAATCGATGAGGAGAGAAGTCAAACGGTGTTGGATATTAACGATTGATATGTTGAGTACAACAGGTTTATTAATGAATTATGTTATCGGTTATATTATTATGTTGTATTAATTCATATGTAGTTTAACGCATGGGTTTTAAACAGATTCCCAATGTAGGAAGTTGTTATAATATTATTCACAAAAACAACCAGGTTACAACAATTCATTAAATTTCATTTTATTATACAATATTTAACATTTATTAATATAGTATCTTTGTTTCGGTATTTATACATTTCACTACACATCAAAATTATAAACGATTTCAATTTAGCGCACAAGTTTATATTATAGCTGAACTTAAAACCGACAAGGTTTTTTATTTGCACATCAAAAGCGGATGGTACTTCCTAATATTTTCACTTTTGTTTTGTGCACTACATGTATCTACAGTTCCAAAAGTTTCAACCCACATGTAAATGTTGTTATTGGTACCTTGTTTGTTCACACTTTCTTGTTAACACTCTAGAATTATAACAAGACCTTTCTGTGTTCGACATGGTAAATTAGTCAAAGTAAAAACTGATAATAACTCAGAGAGCTAAGCCCCTAGTTACCAAAGTTACTCTGTAAGTATGACACTGGCTCCATAATCAAGGAGGTTCCGACCCAGTCCGGGTTTGTTCCCGGTGTTGGCCGAGAAAATTCCCCCACGTGATTTTCCACTTCCCCTCTTGTGCGTTGTGTAAGACGGAGGGTCTGGCAAGGAAATTCGCTTAGGCATTGAGATGGGACGGAAATCCGATGTCCATCTACGTACTGGAATCCCCGACAGATGGATTTAGACGAAGAGTAGGCGGAAACGCCGTGGTCCTGGAAAATGTTTACTCTTGGCTCACGTCACTGTGCCTAGTTGGTGCATAAAAGTGAGACGTTAATTAAATCCTATTGCATTGCATTTCCATTTATAGTAATGCTGATGACACAGAGCTTTTTATACAAATTATAATATAAGAGAAGTTTCCATTTTTAATTATAGAAAATGAGAAATGTGATACTTTTGTGTCTGGTAACGATCGATGAATCCTACGATAAACTACCAATATTTACGGTAATGATAGCATTAACCGATAATAGCTTTATACTCGATTTAACATTGCGTAATGTTGCCATATATGGTTTCTGCGAATGTATGTGTCTGTAGAGGGTTGGTTAACTGCATGACTTAGCGACATCAATGTATTAAATATAGGTATAAGTATTTATTCCATTCACAATTCATGTAATTAACTACATCAATGAACTTAAGCTATGTCGTAAACATAGGTATAAGTATTTATTCCATTCAGAATTCGTGCTATGAACTTCACGACCCCTTTCCAAAGATATAGAATATCCCTTGAACCACTCGCTCGCCAATATCACCCTTGTTTGGAGAAGGTGCCGTTAGTTTACCCAGCGCCAGATTAAGACCCAGATTTTGGTGTCCAGTAATATCAAAATATAAAGAATAATAAGCCTTAAATATTTTTTTTATTTTTCAAAATGAAACCAAACTTACTGTAAGATGTGAAATATTATTAATTGAGACAAGACAAAAACTATGAAAAACTAATTCAAAGTTCTTTAACATTTTTAACATTAATGTATCAAATTTGTCATGTACGAAAGTAGTAATTCTGTGGCGCCCCTTCCCATGATGACTTAAGCAGGGGCGTGGCCCGGCATTTGAGCAGCGGAGAGTCGAAGTTTGGCGTGAAATCTTTGGGCTTATGCGCAATTTTTATAAAGTCAAAAGCTCTGAGACAATATGTCTGCTCTTTTTTTTTTATGTAGCCTTAGGTTTAGCAATATCTCTCTCTCATTGAAGAATTCGGGCCAATATTTTACCATGATTATGTATATACTTATAATATTTATGTTTGCTTTCAGATTATAACTAGCGAGCACAACCCATCTATATTGAATGAGCGTGGCTTTTGCAATGTGTAAAGTAGACACTACAGTAGAGGAGAAAACGTAAAGAAGTCACGATTAGCATGGTATGTTGATGCATATAATATGCACGTTCATTCGAATCTTACTAATTTTTAGAGCGATTTCAGAATCTGGCTTCAATTGTCATTTTAACAGTTATACTTATGGCTATTTTTTTTCTAATTTCACTATTGGTTGTATAAGTTTAAAATCATAATAGATCGTAAAGTGGCTGATGCTGGTGGGGTAGGGGTGGGTTGCCAGGTGATCACCCCTTAATAACAGTATAAAAAATACACTTATTATTTTGTGTAACGTTGAGCTTTGTGTTGGCTGTGGTGATGTAGCTAATGCAACACAAATGCCCATTGTCACCTCGAGTTTTAAACATTTGCTCTGCTGAGCCCCCTCCACCTCCCCCCCCCACTAACCCCCTATCCAATTATCGTAGATCACAATACCTATGCTACAGGCCATTATTAGGTAACATTATTTTATACTGCCTGTGAATTGATTAATGGAAGAACACATTTATTTATGAGATTCGTGTCAGTACATTTCTTTTGTTGTTCTCACGAAGCACGTATAGATTTACTTTTTGTTCATCAATAAACTATACTATAGGAAATGAAACACAAGGTACATTAATATAAAATGACATTTTAGTATATTTACATAACGATGTTCCAGTAATATCAGGTGCGTTTGTAATAGTGCCGGTGTTGTGGCATATAGTCATACCTTTAGCTCATAAGTCGTACCCGCCGTGGCTTTTTTTTAGTAAGACTCTAGCTCGTTAGCCAGGAATTCTCTGGTTCTCGTCCGATGTTGGTAGAGAAACTTCATCGGGATTTGCCGGTGCGGTATCCCTTTGTCAGTTGTGCATTGCGGAGGGCCTGGAAAAGACCGGTCTAGTCTTTGGTCTAGGTCGAAAAACCGCTGGTCCGTGTACATATTTGCGTGCACGTAGAATAACCTTTAACAGTTGGAATTCGACATAAGAGTAGGCTATAGCAGCGCTGTTCGGGCAAAACTTCCAACATAACACAATATCTGGCATAAGCCCGCCATCTTATTTAGCCCAGTCCGTGCAGAAAAGTAGGTCGTTAAACCTCATTTTACTTCATTTCGCAAATCCTGTACGCATGGTGGTTTACAGCACTACAGAATCAGCCCCCCCCCCTCTTCTTGATCTAGCTATTGTATTCCCAGTTTAGTATATGTATGATAGCCAAATATAATATATTATACAATATCAATGAACTGTGAGACTACCACAAACATGTACATGTATGTAAATATCAATTACCATGTTACGATATTTGGGATAACTGAATTGTAACGGCTCATGAACAAGGGGATCCTGGGTTCGATCCCGGTGTTAGCCAAGAACGTTTCCAGGGTGGTTTCCTCTTATCAGTGGTGTAGGTGGGGGGGGGGGCATGGAAGGAAAGTGTCTAATCGTTGAGTAGGCAGAAAGGCCTCTATCCGTGCATTAAATCCGACATAACTCACTGAATCGCATATGCCTGTCTGCATTATCCCGGTTTGTGCAGAAAACTAGGACATTAAACCCCATTTTATGTCATAGCGTACTTAATTGACACAGTTTGATTAAATTATACGGTTTGATTAATTAATTGATTTTCATCTTTTAGAGCCACGACCAGTCGTTGCTGCTTTCAGACGAAGAAACAGCAGGTAGGCAGCTTAAATATTATACAAAAAGAATAATGATTTATTACATCTGATTGAAGCTGCTCTTAAATGATTCCCAAGTCCACTTCATCTAAGACACTTGACACAAATTCAAATTTTCCCATAAGCTAACCCCGGGAATTTTTTGATATTGCCCTTGGTTGAAGCGGGGGGCAGTAGTAAAAAAAACATCATACGTCAAGTCGAAAAATATGCACTGGACCTGGGTAGACCACCCACCCATTAAAATCTTGTGTAAAAAAATATGCACCATCATTTTTAAGAAAGACCACCCTAAAATCTTGCGCAATAAAATGTGTTCTTCACAGTTGCTTAATTGACCACCCAAAAATCATGGGCAAGAAAATGTGTTCCTCACAGTTGCTTATTAGACCACCCTAAAATCTTGTGCAAGAAAATGTGTTTCTTGAAATATCTCATTTTAGACAACCCAAAAGTATGTGCAAAACCTAACTACTAAAAGGCTGAGCAATAGAACAAATGACAAGACAATATGTTATAAATACAATATTTATATTGAGTTGATGTTTGACAAAATTCTGAGTCTGAATTATTAGCAAAGATAGTCTAAGACTGCCCATATGCAGAGACAGGCTAAAATATATGAACTTAGGCTTGTACCTATTCATTTATTGTGCTTTCCCATATCTACTCAAATCTACTGATCACAGGTTGACCAATTTTAACCAGAGTGTGGAGAAGTAAAAGATTACCCAAATCTCATCTCGGCATGCTGCGGTGTTGTGGGTAAAAATGATGTTGACCCTCTCCACACGACGTGTTTATTCGGAGTGGGCTGGCAAACCAAATTGACAGGACAACAGTCGATCAAATCACGGGATAACACTTGAATGAAATGATAAGGCTTTGAAATATTAATGAATATTTATGTAAATAAACATATACAAGAAACATGAGTTACAGTACAAACATAAACAAGTTGACAGTTTTCTTTGTTGACAGTTCTGATTCAATAATTAGAGTTCACGAGTCACGGAATTCACAGTTCACAGAGTTCATGATGTCTATGGAGATCCGCCATGTTAGAAAGCATGGGTTTTCACGAAATTAAAGTTCACTTTCCCGGAGGAATTATAAAGTTAATCACAGTCGCCACCTTACGACACAAAGTTCACCATTCACTTAAGTATCACAATTGTCCTAAAAACATAGTTACCAAACACCACCTCCGAGACAGGGAAAAAAACAGTATCGACACGGCATTGTAACATGCTTAAGGGTGAATCTTGCGTTTTGATTGGTGGATTAGACACTGTCGATTGGACAATATATAACACCCCTCTGTTTTAGCAAGGCGAATAACTGTGTATATAAATATTACAGTGTACTTTTTTTTTCATTTTGTGCTCAGCCATCTTCCTCAACTCAAATCTTTATTGACAAATATCTTCAATAAATTCTGCTCAAATGACCATCACACTATTTTCAAACTTCATCCAAACACATCTCTGAAATATATTAAATAGAAGAAAATCAGTCATAAACCGGCATCATAAATTATTCGTAACTAAGCAGTGTGGACTAAGCAGTGTGGACGATTTTGTTTTATTTTTTTTTTGCACTCTGCAGTGTTTACTTTAAAGTGGACAATTTAAATCAAAGTTTGCCCAAATTCTGAATAACATGATCCGCCTGATAATGAGTCATTAGTCTCAAGAAATTGTTTGAAAATATAGTCACTAGGGGAGGTGAAATAGCAGCTGATTTGGGCCTAGGATAACGGGAAATTATGCTAAAATTGACAATGACAATGACAATGTTTGACAACACGTCAGAACGATATACATAGCAAACACTTGAATCCTAGGCATCACATAGTTTTATAGGGTATTCTGAGGGGTGTATGCAAGAACTGCTCTCCTCTGAACAAGAACTAGCAATAAAATTGTGTTGACGGTCTGCAAATAAAATAATAAAGGCTAAAAACTCACCTATGTTAAAGTTATCAAAACTTCGAAAGTGTTGCCAAGAGTTATCCCTGTGTAGTCTCGGTTAACAGGCCGTAACTAATTCATTCACGACTGGCACTAAGGCCACACTAAGGCTAATTTACTAATCTTTTTAAAAATCTTCAAACGTTAAAAATATTTTATTTGAAATATCCGAATAGCATTTTCTTTCATAATTTATTTACCAGCGACCCAATTTTCTTACCCGGAAATGCTTTTTTTCTTTCAGAACTCTGTTAGACCACCCGGCCAATTTTCTTACCCGGAAATGCTTTTTTTCTTGCAGAACTCAGTTAGACCACCCAATTTTCTTACCCGGAAATGCTTTTTTTCTTGCAGAACTCAGTTAGACCACCCAATTTTCTTACCCGGAAATGCACTTTTTCTTGCACTTTTTTCGGCTGGCAGACCCACCCCACCCCCCAGTTGCTGTTTGCATTTTTTTTTTACAGTTGCCCCCTGGTTGAAGTTTATACATGGCCAGGCATAATATTCTTCTGATAAATGCGCACTATTATCATATATTAAACTGTCCTGTGGTCTTATGTTTTCCAATTCTGCACCTGTATTAATTAAATGGATAAAAAAAACCCCGGTGATTTCTAGGATGTCCACACATAATTATGAGTGAATTACCGATCGTCAGTATGACGACAATATGCGACTATTGCATATCGATGGCGACGTATGCAATGAATTTTTACTATGCTGAAACGTACACATCAGCAAATCAAACATCGCTGCAACCAAATATCTCGACGTCTGTTTATTGGTAACCAAGCAACACATGCCAGTGGTATCTGATGAAATTAATGGTTTAATGTCCCGGAATGTGAAATCTGACAACAACAATTAGCCTGAACTAACACAGTCATTAATTACAATGATCTATATGTAATTATAGAGCAGCCATTATCCTCAGTAGCTTAAACATATATTATTAACAAATGATTTTGAGTAAGAGAGACCGCAAACTAATGTTTCGGAATTTATAACGTTAAAGTACTTTGTCCCCCCCCCCCCTTTACTACCCTGACGGGAGAAACGTTAGTTCAGTGATTAAGGCGCTGGATCACTGTTCAGGATGCCTGGGGGCGATCCTGGTGTTGGCGGCGAAAGTACCTCGGTATTTCCCATCGGGGTGCCTGGAAGAGAACAGTGTCTAGTCGTTCAAGGAGCACGACAATCTGAATTTCCATGCTCACGTTAGCGTGCACGTACAGGAACCATTAACAGTTGGAATTCGATCAAGAGTAGGCGGAAGCGTTGCTCTCCGGGCAAGATTTGTTTCATTTTCACCACACTGACGACTCAACGATTGTTATTACATTTGACCGTACCATCAATCAATGCAACTCATTTAAAATGTTCGACAAAGCGATGGATTCGTATCGGCGCAGTTTTCATTGCCTTAGTTAAACATGATGAATTCGTATCGATGCAATTTTCACGGGCTTATTATAGTATCGGTGCTGTTTCCATGAGTAGAATGGGTTGGATGGCCGAATGGTTAGCACGTGCGCACTGTATCATAAGGTCTGTCATTGAGTCAACTGACGTGGTTTCGATTCCCCGGTTGTACGTGACAAGGAGTAGGGTCGCCTGTCCTATCTCGTGGGTTCTCCAGTTCCCCCACTGCTAAAGACCCCAGCGCGCAAGCGAATTATTGAAATAAAATTGAATCATGTGTTATCCCCGAAATGACATAGTTTGTGTCGAGTGGACGTTAAACACGATTTCTCTCTCTCCCTCTCTCCATAAGTAGGGTGTCCCACGCACCTAAAATTAGCTGTGTTTAAAGGGTTACATCACCACAACCTATGCGCACTATATTCTACGAGACTATAAACAACCATCGCACGTCAAATATTGAACACATCTATCGACTATTAAAACCGTAAAAAATATATTGTTAACAATAATATTTAGCTGATTTGTTGTTAGAGTAGCTTTAGAAAATTACGTTCATTTTTTTTAATTTGCTTTATTATGAAATATATCGACACGTTATTAGCGACATCTTTTGGTTTAGTAAAATTAATATCCCCAAAGCTCCTTCGTTAGACAACAATAACATACTAATAGTATTTTCCTTTTGCGTTTACAGGGTTCTCAAAACAATCGTTGAATTGCCTAACGTGCGTGTTTCTAAATTACATTTATTGATCTAGCGTTCTGTATGTTTCGTCGAAAATAGTCTTGATGGTTAATTAGCAGGAGAACGGTCGGTAGACTGGTTAAGGGGGACTAATTTCAAACCAAGGGCAGATAACCTACTTTGCACCTAAAAATGCCTAGATGTAATGGCGTCGTCTTGTAAACTTTTCAGTCTATGTTTTTATTGATGTTAAATGGTTATAACTTGTTAAATACAACACGGCCGTTTATTTAGGGACTATAAATGTGAGATGGTAAGTTAAGACTTGTTACATATATACATATTGTGGTATAATTGTTGAAATAATTAACAAAACTAACTTGATAATTTCTCAATTAACATTTTTTAAAAAGAATTTTAAACATTGATTTGCGCTTAGGGGTTTACAAGTTAGAAAAAAACCCAGAAATAAACCTGCGATCCTTCTCCCTGTCACGTAAAGTCCTGTGATCAAACGAAATTGCAAAGATAGCTGACTTAAAGTAGCTAAGTCTCTAACTCATTATCATACAAAATCTTCAACATTGAAAACACGATTTATTTGTCAAATTAAATCAACATTCATGTTGTGATCTTACCGGAAAAGGATGGGCTTTTGATATCCAATATTTAAGACAATATAAACATTTTACCATTGGTACACGAATCGTGTACCATAATGCGCTTCAGCCCCAGTTGTATCAAGAGACTCGAGGGACGAGGCTAAACACATTGCACCAAATCAAACGGCGTATGTAGACTGGAATAACCAGACGCTAGAAATTTGCACTCGCTTGAGACTGCTGGCTTATTTCGCCGAACATAACTGATTTGAAATTGGAGTAAAAACGGAAACCATTGAATGTAAATCAGTT